TTCACTGAGCTGACGTCGGCTCGAGAGTGGGGGCAATTAAAGAGGGGTAATTTGGTCATCCAATTGTATAGCAACATGTGGCCTTTAGACGACACTTCGGCGCTTAATAAGCAAAACAACTCAATAAGTTAGCTTGAAGCACCTCGGCTAAGCCGACCTCCACCTCGTTCAAGGCGAACTAGTAGACCTTGTAAGACTGTAACGACCTGTCCTAGGAGCCCGCCGGGCTATAGGAGTCCAAGGCTACCTACGAGGAAGAGGTCGCTAACCATGCCCAGCAGCGCGTCACCAAAAGCGCTGGTATCTCGACCGTTACAACAGCTCGTCATATTGCGCGCCTGATTTTATTGGGCAGACCGTAACCTCCACAGGGGACTTGCAACTGACGCATTAACGCACCAGACAAAACGGTAACAGTTCCGCGAAGAGCTTAGGCCTGTTACCAAGGGGGCCCTGAGCACTGATGCCTATAAAAGGCACCTATTTCCACTTGGAAATGTATGTGCACTAAGTACTCTAAGCTCTCTCAATCCCTTAGAGAACTCTCAAATACTTACTGACTTAAGCATCAGAGTGCCCTCCCCGGGTGAAAGACGCTCGGGCACTCTCATCCTCTTCTCCTTCTAGCATACTTCAACTCGATCATCCGCATACCAGCTTGGCTATCCACCAGCTCAGCCCTGTACAACTCGACCCAGCCAAGCACGACATCATCAATGAGCATTCTTAATTATATATCAATTGCTAATCTTGTCAATTATAGCACCAAAGTTACAACTGTTTGCTATAGGAAACAAGTAGAAAAATCAATTATCATCGTCCAAGCCTTATCCCAAGTTCCCAACCAATGTTCTGAAAATTGTAATCGTGTCATACACATAAAAAGTTAAGTGGAATCAAATCAAATTGCAAATCATAAGATTTTTTTTATGTTTATAAATTTGTTAAAAGATAATATATATATATATATTATATGAAAGTAATTTAATCCTATTTTTAATCTATGTTTAATATAAATTTATCACTTGCAATAGAAGTCTAAGATGATATAATAAAGTTTGGCTTGAAAGTCAAATAATCCATATACAATGGCTCTTTAACCTATGTATGGTGGAAAATAAAGCCAATGGCTAGTCTTAAAAAATGTAAATAAATCATTTTCTTACTCTATTTGACAAAACTAAATATAAACACAAAATGACAAAGTGGAAAACTAATTCTTCATCGACTTTATTTGAATCAGAAATAATTCATATGTAATGGCTCTTTAACCTGCATTTGATGGAAAATAATATAAATAAATAATTTTCTTGTAAAGGCTTTAAAGCAAGTCTCCCTTGACAAAACTAAATATGAACAAAAAATGATAAAATTGAATCATAGTAAACCGCAGAAATTGATTCAGGCATTAAATATAGACCATAAGATTTGTTTAGAAATTGATTCAAGCATAAGGTTCAAATCAAAACCGGGATTCATGATTCGAATCATAAATCATTTTGACAATGAGCCCAACTATATGTAAAAAAATCCTACATAAGATACAGAATTGAAGCATAAGAAACTAATCTTTTTCACCAAAAAAGTGTTTAATAAATGTGGTTTCCCCGTTAACTTCAAACATCTCAGAATGAGACTTTGAATTTGCATCTGAATAATTTCACATAGTCATTCCTTAAGATTTATATCCATAATTAGATAGTCAAATCTTGTAAAACTTAAAAAAAAAAAAGAAATTAAAAAAATGGTTGAAAATATATTACTCAAGAATGAAAGAGTAAGATGCAACAGGAAAACCGCTGTAAGTGGCACCTGTCTTGATTTCGGTGAAGTACTGGGCAGCTGATCTTTTGTACAGAATTAAAATGATAAGAAATGGCCTGCTAGAACGTCTTCATGCTTTTCTCTCCTTCAATACCTTCCATGGCATATAGTCTTTTCGATGGGTTACCATCTGCTAGGATATATAAGAAAGAAGATGAACATGACGAAGATGGGATTAAACGGAAGACCAGAAAGAAAGGGGGTAATGGATAGTAAACCCCAATGTTTTAATTTCGAAACTTCATTAACCCAGATGATCGGATCGTTCGGACCTGAAACTGTTCAGGCAATCAGTTCCGTTTTATCCTAATCCGGTCTCTGGTAAAAAATCGTTGAATTAGTTAATGAATCATTGATCCGAACAGTTTGATCGGTGAATCATTCGACCCAGAAAACGGTTTGCGGTTTATTAACTTGTCACAACAAAATGAAAAGGGAAAAAGGTCTCTCAGATCTGAGATCTGAGATCTACTRAGAGAGATGTGTGGGACAGTGGAAGAGATCTTACATTTAGAGATCTGGGAGAGAAGTTTAGACTCTAGATGACAGATCTGTGAGAGAGAGAATGAGATCTGAGACTGAGAAATCTCAGATCTAATTTTTCACCATCGCCACCGCTGTTTCCGCCATCGCCGTCGCCACCGTCGTCGCCGCTGCAGCCTTCAAAGCCCTCCTCCTCCTCCTCTTCCTTCTTCATCTTCTTCTTCCTCTAAACTCTTTCAGCCGACTTCTCAAATACCTCTCATTCCATCTTTATTTTCTCTTATATTTATATGCATCTTACCCTAATATTTCAATCTAATGGGTAAGATGACATATCACTGTTAAAATATTCAAACTGTCTGAACCGTTTGACCCGGACGGTCGAAATGCTGACCCAAAAACCGGTGGCTAGAACGGTTCCATTTCTGGGTCAGTTTTTAAAACCTTGGTAAATCCCATATTATTGGTTGAGATAGTGAGACGTATGGAGCTTGGTAATGAAGCAATAAAAGAGAGGGGGTTCATGGGTAGGGAAGCAAAAAATGGAGGGATATTAGAACAGGTGACTAGCTTCCTTTCTATACAGATCTTGTATTCCTTACTACTTTTTTTTTCCTTTTTTGATGAGTGTACTCCTTTCTACCTTTGATCATTAATAAAATTTTGAATTGTTATTGATAAAAAAAAAAAAAAAAATGAAGGAATGTTTCAAGAGATCAGAAGGTAGAGATTGAATAATACGACAAGGAGAACAGCAAGGAAAGAAAAGCCAATATCAAACTTTAAAGAGTGAAGGAGGAGACCACATTAAGGCCCCATTCGCTTTTCAGTAAGGTACTTACGCGGGTAAATGCAATTACCTGGGTAAGTTTTTCATGGGAAACACTTACTCGGATAAGTGCATTTACCCATGTTCTTTTATTTCCTAGGTAAATAAGGTAATGACCATTTTAACCATAAAAAAATCTATTATTAAAAGAGGCATTTTTGTCTCATTCAAGTGTTAGCAACTTTCCCCTACGTGGGAAAGTTATTTACCCACCTAGGAAATGGGTATCACTTATTCGGGTAAGTGATACCCAGGAAAATAAACTTTTCCTGGTCCCCACATAAATCTGAAAAATGAACATAGGATTCTTGATTAATGGGAACCAAAATCTTATTGACCAACTTTCCCCCTCTCAAAATCTAAAAAAAAAGAACACCCCCTAAAAGTAAGAGGCAGAGCTGGCAACTAAAGTGTCTCAAGGGGCTTCTTCTAAGGAAAGGACTACCAAATTTATCAAAAAAAAAAGAAAAAGGAAAGGAATACCAAAGGGAAAAAAGGCTTGTCTAGGGAAGGGTGAATATTGCAGGGAGGGAGGGGAGAAGTAAGGGAGAGGAAGAGGATTGCTCTGGATAGAGAATGCTGAGAAGCTCAAAAGCTATTAGAATGGGAATATGAGGGGAAAGGAGTAGTGGAAAGCAGTAGGAAGGGCAAAATGAAGATGCAAAGAGGGCCGGCTTCCTCGGGAATGATTTGGAGTTTGTACGGACAAGTTGAAGGTTTTCAATAGATGGAAATTCTATTTTTTTAGTAGTACACAATAAGAGATTTTTTTTATCAATAATAAAAAATTATTTTATTAATGGAGTATCATTTCCCGAGGGGAGGGGTGAGATGTAGCCTCCTAAAAAGCATTACATTACAATTAGCCCAGAAAAGATGATCCCGATGTATTCCTTGCTTAGCTAAAGAGTTAGCTATTTTAATGGTGTTTGGTATGGCTTTGGATTTTTTTGATAAACGGTGCCAGCTCATTGCCATGTAAGCGTTTGTACTAAAATGTTAAAATGTTATTTAGTAAGTTTGTTTATCCAATAAACATTTATCTTGATTTGCGTATAAGCAAACCGTTAGAGAAAACTTCATTTTAATATTTTCTCCAACACCAAGGTTTATTTACTATTCCACTTATGTGGAACTTAATGGCATTGAATGACGTCTAATGGCGTCTAACTGTTAATAAACAGTAAAAAAACATTTACCAACCACTTTTTCTCGATTTTGAAGACAAATCAAGTACAAACATTTTTTAAATAAATGCAAGTCATACCAAACATCCCCTCCATTAGCCGAATACCAAAAAAATATAACAGTATTTAGATTCCTTAGCCAACCAATTTTCAGCTTCGAATCCCCTTGGATTAACGGTCTATCAATGTTCAACTCTGTAGCAAGTTTTGATTCGAATAGAATCCCCCACACCAATGGGACCTGAAAACAAAGCAACTATACTGGCATTTGCATTCCTTGAAACACCCCCAATTCCCAAGGGCCATGGGTTCCCCAAGCCTTTTCACTTTTCTGAGGCGAATGTTTTTGTATACATAATTCCATCTTGGCATCCTGTATCTTTGTACTTTGATCCTTTTTATTCTATTAATAAATTTTTGCTAGCTATCAAAAAAATTGAGAAATATATTTATTTTTTTCGAAAAATATTTTTGAGAAACATATGATATCTTTAAACCATAATAAAACCAAAGGGTATTAGTGTTGTTCAATACCAATGCATATTTATAAATATGGCACCATTGCCTCCTGTACCTTTTTCTAGTTGCAATGCCAGCTTCCTTTTTGTCTGGTTATGAAGTGTTGTTCCCTTTATAGCTAGCTTTCCTGCACAGGAGAAGCCAACACGACAAGTATATGCAACAAATGTGGCTACCATTGCATAAAGATCATAAATGGAGGAAATCCTAAACGCTCGGCTAAACCACAAGAAAACAATTAAAGACAATACAAGAATTACAAGCCACACCATAGATTCTATATTGCCACTGGAAAGTTGCAAAAAAGAATACAAACTTTCAACAAGTAGCAAAATTTAGTTGGAATTAATGTCAAATTTGCATTCTGCATTTCTTTTGAGAATGTCCCAACATATGGCAACGGCCACACTGAACAACCCTCTTTGGGCGCTTAAAGTTGTCTATGCGAAGGACTTTCTTTTTGGGTCGGCCAGGTGGGCGACGAGTCTTGGGTGGGCGTATTGTGATGTCAACTTTAGCACCCCCACCCTCTGTTCCCTCACCAGGATCTTTCCAGGTACTCCTGTCTGGAATAGGATTTACCATTTGTGAGTAGGCTTCACGATAGCTTGCTACTGTGAAACAAGGCTCGGCAAATAGATGGGCATTTTGGCCACAAGAGATGAGTGCAGCAACAGCATGTGCACATGGTACACCATAAATCTGCCAACGGCGACATGAACACTGGCGACTGCGTATATCCACAATGTTGGTCCGCTCAGTTGAGACAATCTCAAATTCCACTTCATTCGCGCGAAGTACTTGATAACAACGAGCATCTGCAATTGCTTCTAAAATGTGCTTCTCGGCGGATGGTACAAGAATTGAGTTCCAGGTCATGCCCATGTTACGACGCTCATTGAACCAAGATGTCAATTGATGACGGATATGCTCCATCATCTGCACAATAGGAAGCTCATGACCTTCAAGGGCCCAGTTGTACAACAGTTCTGTGACACCCAAGGTAAAGTGACCATAGCGTACCCCCTCAAAATATGCTACTGCCCATTGGCGGGGAGGAAAACGCTGAAGCCATTGCAGGACATCTTGTGAAATCTCTGCCATCTCAGCAATCTTGGCTTCAAATTCAGCAGCAGTGAGTGCATACACAGCATTCCAGAATATGTTTACCAATTTTGTATTCTTAAACTCATCACGAAAATTTTCACTGACATGGCGCAAACAAAATCCATGGAAAGCACTTGGGAAATGTGTTTCTACTGCCTCTACGATGCCTTTTTGTCTGTCGGATAATATTGTTAGCCTGGGCATGTTTTCAGTGTTAACCCCAAGAAGTTTGCGCAACTCAGACAAGAACCACATCCAATTTTCATCGCTTTCCATATCAACTACGGCAAATGCCAGTGGAAACAATGAATCATCAGCATCAATGGCTGCAGCACAGAGTAAAGTACCTAGGTATTTTCCTTTTAGATGTGCTCTGTCAAGTTCCAAAAGTGGCCTGCATGCATTTATAAAGCCATAGATTGAAGCTCGGTAAGAAATAAATAAGCGTTGGAAGCAATTCTCCTGCCCAGTAGCAAACACTGATGCAATACTTCCTGGATTCGTCCTTCTGATTTGTTCACAATATGCAGGAAGGAGGCGATATCCTTCCTCAAAGGTTCCATGAACTGCAGCCATGCTGCGTTCCTTTCCACGCCAAGCTTGCATGTAAGAAACAGCAACCCCATGTTGTTCACGGATGTCTTGCAATATTTCTTTTGGTTTGTACTGCGGATTATCTCGAAGCCGTGCTTCTACGGATCTGGCAACCCAACCCACTGAAGCTTGTTGATGATGGAGGTTGCGAACTCCTTCACAAGTATGGTCCGCATGCAAAGTTCTGATTGAAAACGTTGAAACACCTGGGCACTTTGCTACATGGACACGCCATGGACATCCTTCCTTGGAGCATTTGGCAATAAATCGGCTCCGGTCTGATTTCACAATCCGAAGATCAAAATGCAAGGCTATGGCTATCTCTTTGAGTGTCCTTCTACATGTTTCAACATCAGGGAATTCTTGTCCAATAACTAAKGAATGGTCAACTGCAACTAGTTGCTGATCAGATCCAGTTAAAGAAAGGTTGGCCATAAATCCAATAAAATAAACAGCTCCAGTATTCAACAAATCAAAAGATTGAACTCATGCCATCTTCGGATAGTGTGTGCTACCCAAGGTGCACTCTTCTAGGGTATAATTACTGCATACACCCTTTGAGAGACAATCCCTAGTGTAGGTTGTAGATAATGAGAAGTTTTGGTCTGTAAGTCAACCACAATTTGGGGAAAAGGCATTGCTGATAATTGGAGCACTTGTGTAGTTTTGACAAATTGCCACATGTCTTGTTTCATTCTAAGAGTGAAGTTAAAATGCTGCAAAATAATTGTAAATAATTAAGAAAAGATAATAGTAGGCCAACATAAACAAGATAAATGAAATCTGAAACATGGATTATACCAAATAGATTAGTTGGTCCATATTGAAATGAAATAAAACTTTTTTGCTTATGGTCAAAAGGCATCCAACATAAAAAGATCCCATTGTTGGTTTAAAAGCCTCAAGTGGTTTGTATATTCACTACACTAAACAAATACACAAAACCTGTAAAAAAAGAAAAGATAAAAAATAAGAACCACAAAGAGAGAAGGAATGATTCTTTTTTTCCTCATAGAGACTGAGGATCCAAGGGATGATCCTTCCATAAAGACAAAGTATACATTCATAGTTGTGGATATGAATCAAAACATATAATAAGTTTTACAATCAAACTCAAATTTAAGGGTGGCAAAGGTCAGATGGAATATCAGATTCCAGATTACGGGAAGTTAGTGCCACAATTGGCAGATAGAATGGAAGCATTTTTCCTTTTTTGACGAATGATGGAAATGGAAGCTTCGTTACCAATAAACCCAGATGATATTTTTTTTTTTTATCAATAACACTTTCATTAATTCATCAATAGAAGATTTACAAAAGGAAGACAAACACGCTTATCTTCCAAGAGCAACAAAGAATCTCAAGAAAAGGAAAAA